ACAATCGCTTTAACATGGAATTACATTTTCACATAATTGTACAATTTTATCTTGCACGGCAACCGAATTACCTCCTCTAAGTTTCAAATGTACGTAAACAAATTTCGCAAAATAGAACGCACTTATATGATAGATTTCGTTTCTACTTTCACGGACACATCGATTTTTTTTATATGTGAAAAAAAATTGTTTTTGTTACACGGTATAATCAGTAGGCAAATATATATATGTATGTATATATATATATATATATATATATATGAATTCAACAAAAATAAGGAGTGAATTTTTCAAGGATATCAATCTTCATCACAGCGATAAATGATGTATACATTCCATTGCAGACTCGTAATCGTTTGCAAGGTCACAGGTACATTTTTTATTTAGTAGTCGATTATTATCCATCCATATTTCAACTCTGCTCAATAAATTAAACAGTTAATACTTACAGTCAAATATTGAATACAACTTCCCACATTTATTTGTAATATACATTTACGTTTTCTTGACTTTTAGGAAACCAGCTGTATTGGAAAAGTATTTTGCATTCGCCTCGTTCACTTTTTTCTCTGCAGCTTGCGGATTGACAATTTCAAGACCCTGCAAACACAGACAATCGTTAAAAAAAAAGAAATAAAATAAAAAATTATTTTTTACTTGTACAATGTTTTAGTAAAACATCAATAGAAACATACTTGTAAAGGAGTAAAAGCTACACTGGAAGCAGTTCCAGAGACTTGTTTCTTGACGGTGGTGCTACCTCCCCATTGCTGCTGCTTCTGCAGATTTTTCTGGAGTGTCTTGGATATTCTGACTTTTGTTTTCTCGTCAATCTGCGGCAGTCTGATTCGACCAGTGCCAGCCTTGCCAATCGTCCCTCGTGAATAGCCAAGATCTTCTTGGTAGGCATCACTTTCGATCTACAATCACAATAATAATACATTTTAACATTTAAATATTGTGTTTCTAGGCTTTTTCTAATAATCATATACATATAATTAATACTTTATAATCTTAATCTTACTCGCTCGTCAATTGGATCGTCTTTGATCTTTTATCATTATTGATTACTTTACGAGCTTAACAATATTATTTTTAATAATACATTCTTTGAGGTGATCTTATAAATCATAAATTCGAGAACATTCTTTATAACTTACATCTGCAAAATTCATCCTGTTAGCATGCTTCCTAAATTCCGTGATCGCGTAACGTTCCTTCATCTTGCGAACGCGTTTACCGCCACGCTTCTTTCGACCAGGATCGATCGGTTTTGGCAGTGGCTTCACGAACTTTACAGGTGGAGGTTCTTGCAACTTATCTAGTTTTTTCTCGATCTCTTCGCGTAGCATCTGCCCAATGTGACCATCTGTGCTCTCGTGACAAGCATCTACTCTAGCAGCTAGCATGCTCTTTGATGCCACTAGCCTTGCTGCTTTTCTCCGTAAATCCTGCAATGTTATACATATTAAATCTATTGCCGCGATACTTCATTTTGCAATTTTTATTATGTATATGCTTTATTAAAAAAGAAAATAAACTTACCGGGGGAGTTTCTTGTACAATTTCAGAGTAATATATAAAGCCTGTATGAGGCAAGGTAGTAACTTGCGAAAATCCAGAAAGTGTGGTCTTCTGGGATCCAAGGACTAGAAGATTACAGGCTGGCATTTTAGAAAGCTTTGTCAAACCACCTGCGACACCTGAATTAAAAAAAATTTATAACAATGAAAATTTATAAAAATTCATTTTTACTTTGATATAAATATATTTGTGATATATTTATATCAAAATATAAATATATTTTGTATAATACTCTACCCATAATCTTGGCAGCTGTGGATGCACCAACGATTATCGATAAATTTGGCGCAATAAACGCCATTCTGCTTTCCACGTACTCAAATATTTTTGATTTACAATTATTTAATTCCACCGCCATATCACAAGCTTCACAAATAGCTTCTCTCTCCTCTTCTGTCAACAACTGACTGTGCGAGGACATGAAAATTAAAAAGAAATAATTCTACATTACGAAAGAAAACCAATGCAATCAATTCTGTTTTTTAATAAGTTAGAAAATTCCTAAAGTTTCATCTTTTTAACATTACTATTGTACATTTATTACTTGAATACAAGAATGTTAAACAAAAAAATTCGTTTTCCAAAAATTTAAAATTAAAAACACATTTAAGTCTAAATGTTACCCTTGAGTGGTTGATGCTGTCACAGAAACAACCATAATTGTAGCTTGAGTAAGAAACTGCTGCAGAATTTCATTATTTTTGGCTCTGTCTAAATCATTTCCCAACTCTCTTACAGTCATTACATATTCTAGTGGTCCTACAACTAAAGATTCCAATTCTGGAAATCTTTTCGAGTACTTGTCTCTTGTAAATCTATGTATAACAGCTGAAAAATGTGAAAATGTGATCAGCATTACTTTATACAAATTTTATGATTATTTTATATAGCATTTTATACTATTTCTATTTTATATTATTACAATATTTTATTATTAATGTTTCTATAATAAGAGTTAGGACAATGTGATCACGATTTTTGATTAATTGCCGAAATCCGTCATACGTAATAGTCAATTGCTAGTTTCAAATAAGTTGTAATAACCAACATAACAGCCACAAATTATATGCAAATTGTAGAAAATTATCTGATGTTATCTATCATATTTTCATTATCTAGCACTGGCAGTATAATATTTACGTTGAGGTTTGTTAAAGAATGTTACTTCTAACCATAGGTCTGTTTTTTTTTTAGCTGAACTTTTTCCTCTTGGAGAGAAAAGAAAAAAAGATGAACTAGTGCAAAAGTTCACTTAAAGAACAGGCCTCCATACCATACTCATTTAATTAAACTTAGCTACATGTGTTTGACATGTCATATTTTCTGTATATTGTCTAGTCTCTCTAATATTTTGCTATTTGTCTATACTCTCTGTAATATTTGGCTACTAATAAACCTGTTCTATTTGGCTAAACTTTTACATCAGTTCATTTTTCTTCCTTTTCTCTCCAAGAGAACTGGTGCAAAAGTTCAGCCAAAAAGAACAGACCTATGTGGCGATTTGTTCTAACTCTTATTATAAGAACATTTATTATACATTTTACATTATTGCTACATATTATTTTTTACTATGCAGTTTTTTTATTAGTATAATAAAATAATAAAGACCAAAAGATTAATGAAATGTTATAAAAATATTATTTTTCAATAAAAAACTGTTAATTTATTTTTCATTAGATATAGAATGTTTGCTTCAATACACTCTATAATTTATATAATTACCTATTTCATTGTCAATTTTCACTGCCATATTATTAGCTTCAACTATTAACTGATATTCTGGATCAGATTCCACAGGTCCTATAATATCCGTCGATTTCCTAGGAATCTTGCTATGCTTTTCAATCTGTGTTATAACTTGCTGTAACTGTTCCGAATCTCGTAACTGAGCCAATTCTCGAACAGAGGACACCTTTATCTCTGCACAGAAAGAAAAGACAAATTAATTTTTATATAACATGTTTGGTATATTAATCACACAGTATATAAAACATTACAAAATAAATATAGTATACAGTATGTTAAATATATATTACATCAAGTAAATATATCGTAATATTAGAAATATAATATAAATGACGTAAATACATTATGTAAATTATACTGAATAAAACAGAATTATACGAAAACAATTTGTTTTGTACTACGCGTACTATTAAATAATCTAACCTTCTTCTAAGATCTTAGAAACCGAAGTCGGAATAAACTTCGGCTCCGGCTCCTCCATAATAGCGTCCGCGTCGTCATTTTCTTCAAGATCGGCAAGAAGTTCGTCAGCTAAAGACATTTTCCTTTGTTATAAATTATTTATTCTTTTAGTTCTACTTCAAGATTTCGTTGTAACGGTATTTGCAACGAAATCAAAGATGGCCGCAAAACTAGGCTGCAAAAATGTTGATAACAAAAAACCCTAGGCAACAAGATTTTAATGGGTGCATTCAGAACGATAATCGCTCAATGAGCTCTTTCATCTGATTGGTATGTTCCACTAGAATATAGACCTCTTAAAATATAGACCAGATCAGATAAAAGAACTCAAAGAGCGCTTAGTGAGTGGCTATCGTTTTGGAGATCGATTTTGTACCTTGAAACGAGGTGCAAATTATAAAAGTGAGCGAATTTACTAGAATATTGATTATTTCATTGGTCAACACCTAGTAAATTTGCTCACTTGTAATTTTCACCTTATTTGAAGATACAGAATCGATCCCCTGATAAATGCATCCAATTTATATAGATTAAGGCTTAAACACAGGTAGGTACAGGAAATAGGCACAGGGACCAGAGAATAACGAGCTGTCCAATCAGAGCTTTGGGATATATAATTGAACTTACACATCAGAGCTCTGATTGGACGGTTCGTTATTCCCTATTGCTTATTGCTGTCTATTGGCTGCGTTCAGCGGCCTCAACAGTTGAGTGAGCGCTCGTGTATTCTTTCAGATCTAAAATGCTGATTGGATGATCTAAAAGAATAACAGTTGAGTGAGCGCTCACTCAACTGTTGAATTCGCTAAATGTAGTCTTTATGTTTAAACCTTAACGTTTCGACAGCAATATGCGGAAATTCAACCAACTAAAATTTGCATACATCAGAAAATATAGCCGGGTTCATATCTTGGAAAGACGGAAAAAGCGAAAAAGCAGAAGCCAATCAGAACCTTGTAGAAAGACAGACAAGCGAAATATACCGCCTACTATTACTGCGAATTCCGATTAGCTTCCACTTTTCCGTCAAGATGCGAACCGGCCCTAATACCATGGCCAATCAAATCGCTAGGAGTGAGTAAACCAATTTTCAATATGATAGATGTCTCTACTGTGTCTATCGCCGATTTTTAAAAGTGGTTCGCAGTTCTATGCTTGCTACCTTGCCATTATCATTTCATCCCCCTTTCGTCTCTTTTGCTCTGGGATGCTGTGCAGGTAAGTTTCGATTTAACTTTTCCGAAAAATTCCGAGTGATGTTCCATGTACATGTGACAACATAAAATATAAAAAGTTGGAGAATTATTTCGATGAGAAATAACGACGATGGACACCACGGAAAGAGAAGACGATCCCGTTGTGAAAGAGGTTAATATTCTATATTCTGTTTCATTTTTTTCTGTTCTACTTGTTCTCGACAGGATTGTTTAACGTGAAAAGTTTTTTTTTAGGTTAGATTTTGCTTCTTCTAAACACGTGGTTTAAAACTTATTGTTGACATTTAGTATAATGATCTTTCGTTTTAAACTCGTATATTTTATGTGTTACAAAAGACAAGAAATTTTCAAATTCGCCCAAAATTGTTGTAATTTTTTTTAATAATCTAATTAAGTATAAAAACTGATTTTATTATGTTAAAATTTATTAAGTACAAAAACTGATTTTATTATGAACATACAAATTATTTTTTCTTTACAATTTACATTAAATGTACAAATGAATAATCTACTTTTTTATGACATTTAATATTTATTGTTGAAACGTGTCAACATACATCAATCATGAAAATAATCCCTGTTTTTCAATACTGTCTTGACTTTCCTCTACCTTGCAGATAATTTATATAGTCCTAGGTGCAAGGAGGAATAAGGGGCGCATTTGCATTGCTCTCAAATTTTTATAATGAGAAATTAACTGAGGTTGCGTCAGATTTGGACACTTTCAGTACTTTTATCCTTGCTTTACACGAATGAAAAAGTGAAACTTCATAGTAGTCACTGATTCAGGAGACTGTACCAGTGAACTCAAGTCAATTTTTATAAATCAATAGGTTTAAAGCCTGTTCTAGAATTTTTTATTTCCTGTTTCTTGCTTTTTGCTATTTTTTACATCTTGTCTTTTTGCTTCTTATCTGGTTTTTTATTTTATATCGCCCGAGATAAAAATTAACGAACTTTGAAAAAAACAAGAAATATGTATAGCAAGAAATACAATTGTCGATAACACAGGAAAAAAAGAAGAAAAAAACAAAAAATAAAAAATAAGAAAGAGGAAAAATAAAAAGCACTGACAAAGAGTTTGTTTTATTATGGTATTTTTTTAAATATTTTTTATTTTATAAAATACCTATTAATATTTATATTCAGTTGGACGTTGTTTTGTTAGTATAAAAAAATTTCAAATGTTATGAGTAGTTGAACTTGTTAATATCTATATATATAATACATATTCTGTTTGCGAAATTTTTATAGTGTTTTGTATATTCCTGTATGCAATAAATATTTTGTAAAATCGCGTTTTTTTTTCTTAAGCAGAAAATCTAAAATTGATATTCTCAAAGATACTTATCAAAAAAAGGTCTATAAAGATATTCTAGAATGATCTGAAGAAATAATACTTTATGTACTCACCGATGTGAATATATACTATATAGGGGTTGGTCCCATTTCGATATCTTTAAAAATGACCGACTTACCCTCTTGACGCATTTATGAAATTTTGAAATCGCTGTATCTCCGAACCCTTTGAGGTACAAACGAAAGTAATAGAGGTACAAACGGATACAAATGATTCTCTTTCGAATGCCGTTGGTCCCATTTCGATATCTTTAAAAATGACCGACTTACCCTCTTGACGCATTTATGAAATTTTGAAATCGCTGTATCTCCGAACCCTTTGAGGTACAAACGAAAATAATAGAGGTACAAACGGGTACAAACGATTCTCTTTCGAATGCCGTTGGTCCCATTTCGATATCTTTAAAATTCGCTAAATTTGCTATGTAGGAATTGCGCAAAAACTGAAACGCAATGTATCTCCGAACCCTTTAAGGTACAAACGAAAGTAAGAGAGGTACAAATGGGTACAAACGATTCTCTTTCGAATGCCGATGGTCCCATTTCGATATCTTTAAAATTCGCTAAATTTACTATGTAGGGGTTGCGCAAAAACTGAAACGCGCTGTATCTCCGAACCCTTTGAGATACAAACGGGTACAAACGATTCTCTTTCGAATGGCATAAATGAAATTAAAAAATTTTAAAGTTGCGCGCTAGCCATTTTTTGTTTAACTGTTTGAGGTGCAAACGAAATAATGATCGGTACAAACAAGTACAAACGAAGTACAAACGGCCTGCAGTATTAATTTTTATTTTTGATAAAGTTGAGCGCCAGGTTCACATCGGTTATGTACTCGTATAAGGTAATCTTATATGAGCAAAGTAAATTTTAAAAAATCTCAGAAAATATGATGTAATTTTAAATACTCTAAGGTAATATGAGATAGTATTAGCCTAGATCTACAATAGGTTTTAAGTCTTATTCTTAAAAAATTGGCCGATTAAGTACAGTCGAATGTGAAGAGAAGAAAAAAATAATCAATTATGGTTCGTCCATTTCTTATGTTTAAGATTTATGGTTTAAGATTTAAAGACCTATTAGATCAATGCAAAAGTTCGTACCCGATTTATTATTATTCAAAGTTCAAACAATTTTGTTAAAAATAAACGAAAATTTAAATTTAAAAAAAGGGTTTTAAAGCTTGAAATCTCTGTTTTCGAATGGTTAATATATTTTTTGAATTTATGTTAGTTTTGTAATTTTTATATATAGAAAACTACGAGTTAAAACAAAACAGGAAATTTTTTCTTCACTTTGTGCTTGTCTAAAAAAAATTGCAAAAATTTTTGAATTTCTAATGTAAAAACTTAAAGTTTTTTCTATAAAATCGTTTTTAAAAAATGTCTATGATTTTCATCACTGAGTTACAAATTAAATAAAATGAATATTTTGACTTTGTTCATAACTTCATCAAAATCATCAATTTAAAATCATCACAATTTAAAAATAAATTCTTAAATTCTCCCATCAGATAGAGATAGTAAGATTTAGATTTTATTTTATTTTTAACAAAAATAGTAGCTATTTGAATAAATCAGGCATGAACTTTTGCACTGATCTAATAGATCCAGGCTTAGATAATTTTAAATAATCCGAAGTAATTTAAAAGTAATTCGTATCAAGGATAATTTTTGTACACTAGTGACCAAACTCTTGGAGAAGAATAATCAACTATGATTGATCAATTGCTTAAAGTTAAGGCTTATTATTTAGGCTGAGTTCAGAAAAACACTATTATCTCTATTATGTCATTCTATCTTCAGTGTCTGTTAGATGTGAAACAAGAATAGTATGACTACTAATAGATGCTGATAGTGATAGCCTTGTTGTGTTTCGGAATGTAAAAAATGACTTATATTATAGCTTGCCTTCCTTCATGTCTAAAACGAAATTTTATAAAAAATAGTGGATTATTTATTTGTACATTTAATATTCCTTTTTCGTTTGTGAGAACAATAAAAGAAATTGTTTATATAGATACCAGTGTACCTTTCCAAGACTTTGGCGGATAAATTATTTATTATTCAGTATCCTGCATATGTCAAAGATAATTACCCCAATGCAATCTTTTCGAAGACTTTCGTTAAACCCGAAAATCAGAAAATTCGTATGGAACTTACAATGGATACGTCGGATAAACATTCTTACGATTATTACATGGGAAAACAGTTGGCTTTAAAAACAGATGGAAAATCTACAGAAAATGATGAAATAGTGTTTGATAAGTAATTGCAAAATTTTGAACAGCTTTTGATAGAACTTTAATCTATATTTACAAGAAAAAACTTTAAAAAAACTTTTTTTTTTATTAGTGGACTGATGGATAAGGTTGTATTGACTTCAGAACGGACGTTGTCGGACTGCTCCAATTTCGCAGTCGGGATTTTTCAGGATGATGAGCTACACATCACACCATTGAAATCAATGTTGCATATGAAGCTGCAGTGCGATTATCTCGACGAAAATGATAAGCATGCCAGGGATGGAACGAAGAACATTGGAGAAGGTAAAAGAGGATTTTTCCTTGTTGACTTATACATGAATATATTTACCGAGATAGCCTGTATTAAACCTTCAGAGCTTGGTACAAGCGAACGAGAAACACTCACAAATTCATTTGCTAAAATGCAGATGACGACGAGGAGGAAGATAACGCCACTCCGGTGAAAGTAACATTCGCTAGGCATCTGCCGGATAATCTGAAGAAGCTGCAGGAGCAATCTTTCCAACATCACAACAAAAAGAGCCAGGAGGAGCGTTGGATGCATACGAATTACATACCAGTTTACGATATACAAGCTGAAGTAAGTTGTCTCGATATAATCGTGAAGTTAATAATTTTTTTTTTTTTTTTTTTTTTTTTAAGGAAAATATATAGTTAATGTATTGATGTGATTCAAATGCAGCAAAAAAACTCTTGCATACGTTTAATCTGTTATTATTATTATTTTTTTTACATATTGAAATCGTTTGTTTTTACAGTCAACACGGATGGAGATGTTCTGCTCGTCGGCCGATGAATCAATAAATAATCTGGATTTGGGTCAGATAAATTATCTGCGTCTGTTGGTACCCCAGTTATCTGAGTGCTATTTGCAATCCACCTCCGAGGATCAGACAGATCTTCATCACATTTTGACTTTGCCTTTGCTAGACCAAATCAGAAAAATCATGAAACAAGGTGAGAAAATCACACTTGAGATAAAGAGAAAGAAAAATACATATACATTTAATATAAAATATCATTGAAATCATGAAACTGAAATTTGTTTAAAAAATATATTTTATATAAAATATATTTTAGTTTTTTACATTTTATATGACGTTTACAAAAACATAAGTCAATTTTTTTATATGTGTTAACATAAATATTTATTATATATATTAAGCAGATTTTTATATCGTGTAAGAATTTGATAGAAACAAATCTATTTTTTTACAGTGAGAATCATATCCTTTGCAAAATTATGCGAAATTCTATCGCCAGAGCAGGATACGATAACAATACTCAAGTATTTGCAGCAAGTAGCTATGCTGGTGCAGGGCAACTGGGTTGTGAATAGTGAACTGATATATCCCAAAGATAGCCTTTCTCCTCAAAACAGTACTTCTGAATTCATGTGCAGAACACGTGATTATATTGTGAGTATTCAAAATTTAATTTTCATAAAAAATTATGTCCTGAAATCTAATTTTATTTCTCTTAGCTTCTGAATTTTCGAATCTTACACTAAAATATAAATAAACTCCAACTATTTTTTTTATATCAATTTTGATTATTACTATATTTAATTTTGTGACATTATTGATTGAATATTTTTTATATTTTTATTGAGATATTATCTATGCGATCAAAGTTGCTTACTTGCCAAAGTAACTCAAGAAAGTAAAAGAAGCTTAATTATAACTTTAAATATACAAAAGAAAAGTTAATTATATAAAATGTTAATTGTATAAAATGTTTTGTATTTCTTTTAGTTGTTATTATTTACCGAACATCAATATCTCAATCGCAAAATGATCTCGTCCGTCATCAAATTGCCATCAGAAGAAATTAGTCAGATTTTTGCGGAACTTGGAACGTATGAATCGAGGAAAGGCTGGCAACTGAAAGAGCCACTCAACTGGGATTTCTGCAAGAGGTAATCGCTACATTTCGTTGACTTTTCTAAAAAAAATTCAGTCAAATTCGATGTCCTTCAATAAGTATCTTGCTACTCTAATTGATTTCCGGTATTTCCAAGTAATGATTCTGTTTTTTCTTTTCATTGAATCCATCACTATTAGAATTACCCTAGAAATTAGCATTGATCATTTTTATTCGATAGATATTCCGAGATCGTCGAGCGACAACAAATATTTTGGGATGCGAAGAGGAAATATCTGCGCGAAATAATGGAAGCGCAAAATCAGCCACCGCAGCGTCAGCGCCGGAAGTCGAATCGGGAATCGCTAGGTTCGGAAAACGAAGAGAGAAACGTTGGCCGTGGTCGAAAATCAGTCAAAGAATCATCTGTACCGGATAACGACGGTGCAATAACCGAATCGGCTAAACACAAGAAAAGTCGCTCCAGGAAAATATCAGAAACCACGTGACCAAAACCGGCATCGCGGTAGCTTAAAATTTCTCTTTTTACTTATCACTCTGATCATTGTCACGTCGTATCTATGAATCACGTGACTGCTTCGCTATAAATCGTGAGTTTTCTTTGCAATGTCACGTCGACTATGTTGGAAGTTGAGTTTTCCGGAAATATATTCGAGGCTTATGTCCAAGAATTAATCCCTAATTAATGCAATGTACAAATAGTATATTATGGTATTAGTATGTTATGCTATATTTATTAATGCAATTCTGAATTTGTGCGCATATACACACAAGTATATATTTATACTTATACATACTGTACGTTTATTATACATATTATATACATGCGCGTATATGTGCGTACATTTGTAATATATTACACACAAATGTAAAAGAGAATTAAAAGTAATATACTATATACATGCTTTCCATGTTCCAATTATGAGACAGACGTTCTGTAGATGCGATTAATAATTAGTATAGATTTTAATACACAGGAGAATTAAGGAGAATTAAATACATTCGGATTTTTTTTTTTTGGAACAAATATCTTTAATTCGAGCATGACTGAGCAAGCAATAGCAATTTTCTTATTACACACATGTAGACTAAAATACATACACGTTCACACATACACAAGATTTTATGTATATAAACATTTTACGTAACACACAAAATTCTATAATACGAATGTACTGTAATTATATCCGATGTTTTCTGAAATGTATTGTTTTGAATGCTCACATTGATTATGATTATGGTATTAAAAATATGTATAATATTCATTTTTTGTTGCTCTATTCTTAATATATGTATATACTTAGTTAAGAGGAAAGAGAAACAAATTTATTTGTGCTTTTTTTTTTCAAATTGAATAAAAAAATTATCAAATCAAGTTGTGTAATGCAGAAGAAATAAGGTCTCTGAGACTAGTCAGTATGCGATTCAAAATCAGTCGGCAGCCTGGCGAAACACGGTAGCCATCGAAACACGCGCGCACGCACACACATACACACACACACACACACACACAATACACGAGCCCATGTATATATATCTACTTGAGACGCAAATAATTGTGGACAATTAAATATTAATATAAAAAAAATGTCCTTTGTTCTTATATATATTATTTATTCACAATAAATAATTTACCATCGTAATTTTTACGAATGAAAGAAAATAGAAAGACACATCACATATAAAAATTTTGCGATCTCAGGAGAAGAATACTGAATACATCTAATAAATATTGCTATACTATAGAATGAAGTATTATCAAATCCAATAAAGATTGAGTTCAAAACGGCAAAGCGACTAGGCATGTACAACCGAGCGATTGTATATATGATTGATTGGATTTATAAGTAACATCAATATCAATTATGTTCATTTGCTCAACGAGCAGGCTAGCCGGTTTGTCAACTTGAACGCGCTTATTGATTTGTTTCTATAATCTATGTGTATTGTATAAGGGATTTGTACACGAGAGTATCTATTTGATGTACTATTAAGTTATTGAATCTGATAAATTATTGTAAAAGAGAAACACACTGTTATGGATTACGAAAAATATATTTTACGATTTGATGTTAGGGCCATGGCATACAAAGAATATAAGCAATAAAACTTGAATAGTAACCGAAAAATAATCGAAAAATTTCAAAGGTACCACCGAAAAAATTTAGTTCTTATAGATAATGTTGATGTTGATAAATTGTTGCAACGACAATGTAACGTTATTATAACTATCGTTAAAAGTTACAGAATAAGGGCTCTCGACATTGTTATAGTCGATGATAGTGTAGAAATTCAAATTTTTTTTTTCTCAATGTTTTTATCGATGATCAATTACGAAACTCTATTCTGCGCATCACTTCAATATAAACACTTATATAGAAATCAATATAATTATCTTCACTGCTTCACTCATATCGCTTATTACCGTTCTTATAGCTGCACTATATTCTAATAAACATACCTTAAGAAAATATCAAACAACAGCGGCCAAAAATAAAGATAACATAATGACACAGCAATGACAATTAAAATGTCTTTAAAAATGTTTAAAACACTTTTATGATAAATATCATTTATTTCACATTTATTTCACATTGTAGATACTTATTTACAACATTTGTAGCTGGTAAAGAAAATCGGCGGAAAGCAGACATAATTGTGAATCACGGTAAATATGTATTAATACGCTATATCACAGGTATGATAAAAAGAAAACGAAATTATTGAAAATTTTGTAGTTCGACAGAATTAACATATCAATTAATTCATTACAGATAACAGCGTCTTCATAAACACGAGATTTCTCTTGGTGTTTATATTTTAGTTTTTTTATGCGATTTCTGAGATAATCTCAGGTTTTGAAAGATGATAAGATTATATTCTCCAAAATCGATGAAAGAATCTCTCACGCGAAACAATTCGTAACTGGACGCAGTTATATCTTTATAATTTATTTAAAGGATGCTAATAGCGAAATGCAATAGCGAAATGCATAAACAAAATGTCGAAATATTTGGCCAGAATATGAAATTATAAAATATATCACAGATATAACTGTACAGTCAGACCAGTAATTTCCATTCCTCATCCTGATATGCGTTCGTCTTTGAGGCAAATATAGACGAGATTATTTCTTGAAATCACTAACCTTGCCTACCTTCATTATAAATGTTTTCATCATTTTCTGGATCAGTTCGACAAAATCATCATCCGTCATAACTGACTTGTGATTAATGGCAAACTTGACACAAAATTTTTCTAGCTCCTAAAAAAATCGACAACAGCATTCAATTATTGCATGTACATTGATAGATAATATATACTTTAATGAAATGTTAATAGCGTTAATAGTGATAATGTTTGATTACCTGTAAGTTACACTTCACTGCAATTGCATAAAAATGTGCGACATTTGATACAGTAATTCCTTGCTTTATCATATGAATGCAGTACTGCTTAAGATTGCTCTCGCAGTATTCCTCGGCTAGATCTAAAAGTTCTGTAACGAAAAATGTTGCTTCAATCATGAGAATAGATCGAAGATCGCACATAATGTCGAAATAGTCGACTTACCTGATGTCTTCTCTATAGGTAAATCGATTACATCGGTGTATAAATACTTCAGAAAGGCTTTGTAGACAACGTAGGAAAATTGAACAGGTTTGATGGTACTGTCGGAAAGAATATCGATGAAATGAGCAAAACTTGAAAATTTTTAAACATAAATAACATCTTTTATTACCTTTGGTTGTTTTCTTTCCAATTGTGCTGAAACATGGTTTTAAAATGTAAAGAGCGGATTTTCAAAATTGCTTTGTGCACGTAGATAACTTGGCCCTCCACTTCTATTTTAAGATCGCTCGTTGACTACAACATCAAAAGAGAAAAAAAGTTGTTAAAGACAAATGTACAATATTAGCTTAGTACATAAAATATTTATTATATTTAACAATTATTTGAGAATAAACTGTATTACGCAATTTTTACCAATCAAAGTTTTCATCCTCAGCGTTTCAGTATTTTTTTCATTTATAAAGAAGTTTTTGGAAATTTCTTAAAAAGATTCAACAATAACACCATGTTTAAAACAAGAATGAATAAAAAAGACTTCTAAATCTTAATCACTACATATATGTATTATTTAAAATTTATCAATTGTTCAATTTTATTTTAACTATAACAATGTAACAATATTGCGAAGAAATTCGGCCGAAAAAACTTTAGATCTACTTGTTTCACTTGCATTTTTCTATTCTCAATATTGAACATTTGGAAAAGATGCTTGCAAAACAAACAGATACGTAACGAGGAATAAGATATATACATACGGAATCGTTGAAAGCAGTTTTTAAACATTCTAATATGTCCGACCCTCCGTTCACATATAGGATCAGTGGTTCGTGCATAACGCTGGGTCCATAGCGTGCAATAGCATCATGCATGTTTGAGAACGGAGTAACAGTTGGGGTCACGATCTTTTCACCATGACAGTTACCCCATACGTAGACACGTCCTTCTTCGCTGACGGCAACGCTTATGTTACTGCAGTTCAAAGCTGCGATGTCAACCCATTTTATCTCCGTTTCAGGCCTAATCTGATAATATAACTACTGATGATGAAATGATCTTTTCTTTTTTTGTCCTTTGTCTTTTTATAATATAAATATAAAAAGATAAATATAAAAATTTTTTACCATGATTGGTTGGGAAGTAAATTCTGTGTGGCCGATCCCTAATTGGCCATCATTGTTTCTGCCCCAAGCATAGATTTTCTTTTCGTCTGTGAGTGCCAACGTGTGCTCGATTCCGCAAACCACTTTGACTGAAATAATACGATTGTTTAATAATTCCGTTTCACTTTGTCGTCCCTTTCTCTTTTTATTGCTTTATCGAGACGAAAATTACCTACGACGAGACCTTGCTCCAAATTGACCCGCTGCGGCGTATATATATATGTCTCATAATTTTCCCTTATCCCTAGTTTGCCGAAACTATTGTTGCCCCAACCATACACCTCACGACTTTTAGTGATAGCCATGGTGAATGTCCCGCCACAGGAGACATGGACAATCTTCTTTCTATCTAAATTATCATTTCCTAATTGAGGTTTGAACAAATACTCATTATCAGATGAGTTAAAATATCTATTCTGAATATTTCCCAGTTGATTGAAACGATTATCTCCGCATATATAAACCTAAATCATATAAATCAGGTACCACTAGCTTGTAGAAACAGAGGGTTATTGTTAACGGACTTTGACAGTTTGCTTACCTCGCCATCCTCGGTTATAGCGACGGAATGGTTACTGCCACACGCGATATTCATAATGCGTTTCATACTCACGCTGCCTTCCGGAGTGCGCAGTTGCACTAAAGTAGGTATACTGATAACTTGTAGACTATTCTTTTTATTCACACATTGTGCAAGTTGGCCACGATTGTTGAAACCCCAAGAATATACCTTTCGAAGACAATGCTATTATTCATTACAACGTCTCGCAAATGCGTCGCTTAATTTCGTGATTTCTGGCAATTATTCTAAATTACTATATGCATTGATAAAGAATACTAAAGAAGAAAAATAATCTAAATTTTTTTCTAAATTTCTATATACAAGGTAGTCATTTAAAACCACCCGAATAACACCCACAGTGTTCGAGATAGGAAAAAAATGTTTCGAATAAAAGTGGAATGGTTTCAAGGAAGATGTGTTTTGATCATATTGTCGTTCTTCTAGGTGGAGACGCCTTAAAAAGTTGAATATGAAGATCACCTCCAATTTTTTTAATGGAATTACAACATATAAACATATCTAAAGAACATTGAAATCAGTGAGGTGTCACCTAAAATTGAACATTCACTTATACTTCAATATAATAATTTGCCAGCAACTTCTTACTTCTCCTTCTTTTGTGAGCGCCAAAACATGAGGTCCAATGCCACACGCGAATGTCTTTATGTCTTTTCCACATAGAGCCTCTACTTTTTGTGGCTTTAATGTGGCATTCTTATTCCCGATTCCTAAACAATCATTGACGTTTTTACCTAGGCCATACACCATCTTGTCCTTCGTCACGATTAAGGCCTCATTCCCCAATGTACCTGTTTCAAGTTGAAAGATAAATATTGCCAAAACGAATAAAGGAAGGAAATAAGGCGAATTACCGTATACAAAAACCATATGAATCTGGGAGACAAATTTCGATTCCAGTGAATTGAAGATTGGCCAACTACATAGGCTAGAGCAGATCATTTTTGGATTTGAACACATATAGCTTCACGGAATCACTTCTTTGCGATCGCACCGTTTCATTTCTCTATAACATTCCGTTTCAAGCAGACGATCTCTCTCATGTACGAACGTTCATAGTTATCTTTGAAATCATTCGCCGCCAAACCAACGATGGATAAATTCAAACAAGATTAGATAGAAGATTAGTATCCTTATATGGACATCTTTATATAATATATTAAATCTGAACAAAAGTTCATAGCGAAAAATTCACGCTACTTCATTTATATTAAGTTTGTAAAAAATTAGTAATTACACGCCATACAATATAGAGTAAGAATCTGTTTTTCAATTACGGTAAAATGATTTTTAACGGAATAGTTAAGGTAAAAATTCTTTTATTTAATAAGCGCGATAAGTAACAAAAAATCTTGGGAATATTTTTCAAAAAAGAATTATGTAGACAAAAGAAGCTCATTTCTTCCCACCATCTTTTACAAAATAGAATCTGTCCACTTTTTTTCCTTTTATATATATATGGAAAAAATCCTATCCTTTAATAGAATAGAATAAATAAGTGATGTGAAGAAATAGTTTATTACATATGTAAAATTTATCAGCTTCTCTCCATGTCTCTCCATGTTAATATTGGCTATTTTTTTTCAAGGTATATAAAATATCTTTACTTATTGTATACACATGTAATAATTATTAATCAGAAAATACGTACGTATTATATGAACAAAAAATCTATCACTTACACAAGAAATCGAAACAAAATGATGAATGTGAGACGATCTTCTTCAATCGAACACTATATGACTCCAATTTTTAGTCATTCGTTAGTAAGAGCAGTTTATGTTCGAAGAATGATAAAAGCTGTAAAAATGTTGATAAATTTTATCTTCGTTGATAAATCTTATCTTTCAACTTCTTTGTTACAGATTTGTTTTATAGTGTGATGATAGTGATATGAGTATATTTTTCTAGCTGAGGTAAATCGTTTCCTCGAATTGAAAATCCCTAAAAATTCCAGTTATGTCCAGATAAAAAGTATATGTTCACATCAAGATAGACATGGACAAATCAATCTTTAACTGACATAAAATCCAAGTAAATATTAAATCTAATTATATAAACATTTTCATTTCATAGTACATATAGTATTAGATTCTCAGATAAAAATGTCTGTTAACATCTGCAATTCCAAATACGTTAGGACATGCAAAGCATTTATGACATAAAGTTTACTGATTTTTATCAGGAAATAACATAATCTTTTGTAAGTTTGTAATCTTATGTAAGTATTTCCATGTTTAAATTAATGTTGAGTTATTATAAGTTTCCCAATAAAAGATTGATTTATAATTGGAAATTTCAATTAAAAATGGATAATAAATGGAATTCCAGAAACACTGATACGTACAAGCGTGTATATAAATAAGTATAGTGTTAGTAGACATCTGGTGTTATATGCAAATTCTGTATATTATTTATATACGGCTATATTCGAAAAAAAATCCTTTTTCGGCAGCAGGTTCAAATGGTGATCCATTGTCATTATCATGCTTTCCTACATTTGTGAATATGGTGAGGGTTGAAAATCTTTGACAGATAGTCTCCGGATTTCCGTACATTATTTGTACACGGTTATATTTAGAAATTCTAGATTTAATCGCTGCTGAGTAACTGCCCATTCAGCTTTACTTTTTGAAATTATATAAATACGCTCAAAGTTGGAAATCCGTAACTTAGAGAGCAGCTTTAATACGCATTTTCGTGCATTACTTTTACGCGGTTATATTATATTTGAAAGTTCAGAACTTAATCACTGGCCTAGTTTCTACCGAAGGTTTAAATCGGATCAGAAAATAAGAACCAATCAACTACAGTCGAGCATTCTCCTGTCGTTCAATGGTAACAGGGGAATACTCAACTGTAATTAGTTGGTTTTTACATTCTGATCCGGTTTGAACCCTCAGTGAAAACTAGGCCATCGATACGAAATAAAATTCTGCTTTCTGATTGGTTGCAGAACATCGTACGGATGTACGTCGGATCCAATGTAACTCGAGCAAATGATTGGATATTGGACAACTTGCCCGGGGTTCACATGAGTGCGCGCAGGGAATGAAAATCGATCGTGTCGCGATAGCGTCCTTCCTTTCGTCGTTTGCTATCGACTCACGTTTTACCCTCTTCTACGAGTTTCACGGGACTCTGTATTCTATTTAAGTCTCTCAAGATGGTGAAAATGGACCATGATGTGAGTATCTACCTCGCTGTAGTCAATCCTTTATCGCTAGTCGTTCAGTATGAAGCACTTCGGTCATTCCCCTGACACTCGTGTTATCGAGTATTATTTTAAAGTATACTTCGACAATGTCGAAAAATGTTGGTCATGCCGATGTTCGTTATGGTATCACAAGAGGTGAGTCTTTCGTGAGTGTGAGATCACTCGAGCGGGTCGGACATGTGTTTCATCTCGCTTCTCGTGTGCTGCATCACCTCAATTACATCTTTGAAAAGCGTGGCCGGCTTCGACCGTACAATTGTATCGCATTACCAATTGTCCCTTCATTTGTCTGAAACGTAATCGTAAGTGCTTAGTATCTGAGGGGCGCATTCCATTTTTATTTTGATTACGTCGTCTCGTTTTATCTGCCTGGTTTGCTTTTTGAGATGGCTGTTGCATTTCAATTTTTGAATTTGCTTTACTACATCTCGATTTGTGGACTGGCCAAGTGAATCTCATTGAGAACAAGGCCCAATTAAAGATAAAAAGGAAAAAGATATCACAAGAGCGATTTTCTTTTTATCTTTTTTTTTTAGTTACAGATTAGAAAAAAATGAAGAGTAAATAATCAAGATTGAAGTTGATTTACATAGAAATGGGCAGATCAGATTTGCTAAGAACAAATCTGAGAGTATATGGAATTTGTAACGAATTTTTCTTGGAATCTATCTCAAATATCTTTCAAATAATTCCATAATATGTATCTTGGATAAGTATGTTGAATCCAAATATAAAATAAATAGGAAATTTCAAAAAAGAGGGATTGCTTTACTATTGCTATATTTGGATGTGCTGCAAGCTTCATTTCATTAATGATTATTCAGCAAAAAAAAAACTATTTTAAAATATAACTGTTATAAAATATTTTAATATGTTTGATCTTGTCCATAATTCTTCAATAGATCTACATATATAACCATATATATATATATATATGTATATATATATATATATATATATATATATATATATGCATATGTGTGTGTGTGTGTGTGTGTGTGTGTGTGTACAAAAAATATAAAGAATATAAAACAATATATTAGGTATAAAATTGATAAATGTTTCATATATCTAACGAAAAATTAATATTTATTTTTATAACAATTTTATTTTCTTGTTAATTTTTCTCCTTTAACTTTTATTGTTGCTAGTACTCTTTTGAAAGAACAAATTGAAGATGCTTTATATTTATAGGCAAAGTTATATGTAATTATTTTATGTATAAGAAATTTCAGTGGTAATTTAGAACATTGTTTAATATTTCAGGATGGTAAAAATGAGCCTGAACATGTTAGAAAATTGTTTATTGGTGGCTTGGATTATAGAACAACAGATGATTCACTTAAGAAGCACTTTGAGCAATGGGGAGAGATCGTAGATGTGGTGGTTATGAAAGATCCCAAAACTAAGCGTTCAAGAGGTTTCGGTTTCATTACTTATTCCCGTGCTCATATGGTGGATGATGCTCAGAATGCTAGGTAAAAAAAAGAGGATTCACAAGATTGTAAAAAGATGCTTGTTTCTATGAAATAATTTTATATAATTTGTTTCTTTGCATAAATTGATTCTTTTATTAATTTTGTTTAAAAAAGTGATTTTATTTCCTATTATAGTTATAAGAAAGTGAGTTTATATAAGAAATTAAAAAATTTTTACAGGCCTCATAGAGTAGACGGTAGAGTGGTTGAACCCAAGAGAGCAGTTCCTAGGCAAGAAATAGGCCGACCGGAAGCTGGAGCTACTGTAAAGAAACTCTTTGTTGGTGGTTTAAAGGATGACCATGAAGAAGAAGATCTCAGACAGTATTTTCAGAGCTACGGTAGCATAAACTCGATTAGCATAGTGACTGACAAGGAGACTGGCAAGAAACGTGGATTCGGCTTTGTCGAGTTTGATGACTATGACCCTGTCGACAAAATCTGTCTACAACGTAATCATCAGATTCGCGGCAAGCATGTTGACGTCAAAAAGGTGAAAAAAAATATATCTTCAAAAGTTGTTCACTATTCAAGTAGAATACTGTACAGATTGAGAATTAAGAATTTCAAAAAGACATTTGATATTTTA